TTATTCTTTTTTTTTTTTTTAAGATTTTATTTGCGAGAGAGAGAACGAGAGACAGAGAGCATGAGAGGGAGTAAGAGGGAGGAGGGTCAGAGGGAGAAGCAGACTCCCTGCTGAGCAGGGAGCCCAATGTGGGACTCGATCCCGGGACTCCAGGATCATGACCTGAGCCGAAGGCAGTCGCTTAACCAACTGAGCCACCCAGGCGCCCCAGTAGAGAATTATTCTTGCGAAGAGAAAAAAGCATGGCTCTCAGAGCATGGATTCAAATGTCAGCTTTATCACTTATTAGCTGTGCAATTTTGTATAATGTGCTTAACTCTTCTGAGCTTCAGTCTGGTGATCTGTGAAATGGGGATGATTAGGACATCTTTCTCATAGGGTTTTTATAATTATTCTATGAGGTGTTGCAGCTGAAGAACTTGGCACAGTGTCTGGCACATGTTGTCTTTGAAATTGTCACTCTTAACAAAAGTCACACTGGCCATATTTATTCACAACCAATCACTTTGTGAATTCATCAGTGAAAGTGATCAGTGGGTTCTTTTGACAACACAGAAACAGCAGAAACCCTCGACTTCTGGAATTTGAAGACATTGTTTTCTGTGGATGTTCTTAATCAAATAATCTATTCTATCAATCCCAGGGATCAGGAGTCCCTGAAGTGAAAACTCCCATTTAGAAATCTATGCTTGCTATCCATTTCTTCCAGAAAAGAATGAAAATTCTGTAACTGGACATATAAGAATTTTTTTGACACATAAAAGCTTTTAAAATCTGGCCCAAATTTACCTTTACCTTCTTCTTCCATCACTCTCTCCCAAGTCCCCTCCCTTCCTACCACACTGAGCTTTTCCCCACCCCATTCCCAACAAAGCAGAGCTTTTTACCTGCCTTGACCTGGCACATATTATTTCCTCTATCAGGAAGGGCCCGCCACCCATTTTTGGCTGGGCAAACCTCCTTCACAATCCAGAAGCTGATGACATGCAAATCTTTACCCAATTCCCTAACCAGTGAGTAGCCCCAGTCTCTGGGAATATCCTCCACTGGTTTTCTGTGTTCATACCTCTAGCATTTCTGTTTATTATTTACATGATGACATGTCAGTTTCCCCCACTGGTCTCTGAGGCCCTGAGAGCAAACACCACGCCTTTCTTAGGATTGTCTTCCCATCATACAGCACCATACGACCATACAGTAGTTGTCTAGAATTGCATATTAAATACAGAAAGCAAAATTTCAAACAGGCTGGGGATTATGATATGGACCGGAGCTGACCTCATGCCCCCGGAGGCAGGAGCGATCTCCCCTGCTTATGGGTAGGAAGGTCATTGGTCACTCTATTACTTACTGTCAGTTGCATGAATACAGCCATTTAGGAAGGACTTTCTATGCACCAGACCTGGCACTTTACATCGATTACGTTTTACAAGGCTCACAACAACCTTTGAGGGAGTTATTCATCCTAACTCAGACCTTACTGATTAAACCAAGGTTGTGACTCTGGCCACAGAGTAGTAGATGATAGAAACAGGGCTGAAGACCCTAGTAAAACCAGCACTGTGTCCTCTAGGCCAGCCCTTCTCAAGCTTTCGGGGGCATCAGAGCCTCCTGGGGAATCTGGAGAGAGGCAGGTGTCAATTCAGCAGGTGGGATCCAAGATTCCAAATTTCTAACAATTTTGCAAAGTGATGGTAATGCTGCTGAACCACACCTGGAGGGTCAAGCCTCCAACCCCTGGTCCTCAAACCCTTTGGATCATATGCCCCATCAACAAAAGAGTTTGAATGTGTGCCCCCAAAACATGCGTATTTCTTTGTAAAGCGAATACATGTATGACTATAATATATGAGGTACAGTTCGCTCAGCTGTTCCAGCTGTTAGAAGTAGGTCATCATAAAACCAAAAGCAGAACTTTAGAAGGAAAAGATAAAACACTTCCTACAGGTGGAAGCTCTAATTCTTGCTTCCCAGCGGATTATCTCGTACCCCCGGGGAACAAGATATGGTGTATCTTCTCCACGCCTCTTGGTATTCACGGGAAAGGCCCGCAGATTCTAAACCCCATTCGAATGCTTTGCCTGGCACTCATGCCAAGGCGAGCAAACTGATGGGTATTAAAGAGTGCACGTGTTGTAATGAGCACCGGGTGTTATACGCAAACAATGAATCATGGATCACTACATCAAAAACTAATGATGTACTGTATGGGGACTAACATAACATAATAAAAAAAAAAAAGTTGCAAGATGCTATTGGTCTCATCAACTTGGACCTCAAAAACCCGATGCAAAGGGGACCAAATTCAATGTTAAAGCATCTGAAATTATAGGAATGTACTCGTGTGGGAGACCTGACCGTTGGTATAAAGAATCTCAAAAAATGAAGGAGACTTTTTATACAACAGCCATGCTGATATCAATGCATTCACTTGGAGGGTCAGCCTATTGCTGGGACTCGGCACTTCAATGGAGAATCCTAGTCGGGGGGTCTCCGGGCGTTCAATATGCCCAGGGTACTACTGTTCTCACCGCATGATTGCTATGACCCAACATTCTAAAAACCCACTTGCTGCTAAAGCCTATACTTTGGCTTAAGTCAAAATCATCTGATTGATGTTAACATGATCCGGAAAGGTGTGGACAATGTTTAACATTGCAAAGAATGGATTGAGAGATTTCTTTGGCCTTGAAGAGCACTGCTGGTTAGATAGGTTCTCATTTTACAGTAAGTGTTGAATCTGTCTCGTTATGCTTTCAAGCTTCTGGCATGGCCACTTGGTAATAAGACATTTTAATTTAAGACAGAGTCAACCTCATTCTGCTTATGCCTCAGATACCACAGCTTTCCTATAAGTCCACCTGCCACAGAGCTGACCTTACCGACCTTCTTCAACTGCTCTCCAGTCAGTCCTATAATTAAACTCCTCAAATAAATTCAAGACACTTTAAAGGCAGGAGCACTGTCTGAGGTCCGGGGCACCTAGCATGTCCTTGTGAGTAGAATCATAATGTGTGTTGGTTAATCAAATGGTGCACCTAATTTATGAGAGATTACAGAGAGGCAAGAACCAGGTCATATCCACTTGATAGCCTTCATCTCTCCTAAGATCATGCTTTGTACACAGACGACATCCAGCTCAAATTTGAGGCATTGGTTTAAATAATCAATCATACGAACACTCTGGTTTCTCTTCAGATCGCATAAATCATACGAACATTTAAAAATGAACTACATTAATATTGCCAACACCTACTGCAGAGGTGTAGGGAAATCACTTCCTTTCTATGAGCCTTGGTGTTACGGTCTGAATGTTCATGTCCCCCCCAAGAATGTATGTATTGGAGCCCTAACCCAAAGGTGATGGTACTTGGAGTTGGGACCTTTGGGAGGTGATGAGGTTTAGAAGAGGTCATGGAGGGTGGGGCCCTCTGGATGGGATTAGTATCTTTACAAAAAGATGAAGAGCCCAGAGCTCTTTCTCTCCACAGCGAGAAGGTAGTCTTCCGCAAGCCAGGAAGATGGATCTCCCCGGGAGAGGAATCTGCCAACACCTTGATCTTGGACGTGCACCCTCTGGAACTGTGAGAAACATCTGTGGGTGAAGCCGCCCAGTCTCTGGTATTCCCTTAGAGCAGCCAGAGCTGACTAATGCGTTCGGGTGCCTCAACCACGGAAGGCATGTACCTGGCCATATCCGAACTCCATGCCCGCTTGACACTCAATAGCACCCCCTACCAGACACCTTGTTTGTAAAAACACAGATTGAGCTTGCCACATGGCTTAACTCACATGCTGGGACCTTGCCCGGCGCTGTCCGCGTGCCTTCCAGTTCTTGACCAACTTCACTCACACACCAGCAGCTCCGAAGGTCCAAGTGTGCCAAAGGAGTACTAAAGTCGGAGTAGGGCCCTGGGTATCGGCTGAGCCGGCCATTTAGGATCTGCCAGAAGAGGTAGGGCTCCAGGAGGATGTTCCCCCCAGGCTGGGTCAGGTTGCCTTCCATCACGGCCGGTGGGACATCTTGGAAAGAAGAGTATCTCGCCAGCCCTGGGAAGATGCCCTGTTGGCCAGCCTCATACAGGCTTTGAATAAAGAGACGGAAGCTTCCGGAAGCTGCTTCTTGATAGCTCAAGATCTTCCTTAGCAGCTCAGCAGGGGTCCGCTCCTGGCCACCATTGTTCTGGGCCCCCCATCGCTCATACCACTCGAAGGCCTGCTCAGGGGGCCCATCACATTGCACGGGCCTCCACTGCCCGCTGGGGCTGCACTGTGGGATGTAGCTGCTGGAGAAGGAGGGCGGCGCACTGGAGTCCGAGCCCAGGGCCCGTGCTGCCCCAAGGAAGGCTTGCTCGGCCTGTAACTGACAGGGTGTGGGGCCTGCGAGGAACAAGGAGCAGGTGTGTCAGGTGAAAAAGTTCCGTGAACCTGAAAGGCCAAGATGAAAACCCCGGACTGTCCAAACCCTATCTAAAACCTTACACAGCCACAGAAATCCCATCAACCGTAAATCTGGAAATAACACCTAGACCGAGAGCCTCCCTGTCACCAAATTAGCACTGTTGTGACGGGCTGTTGTCAGCTCTACGGAAACCTTTAAGCTCCTGGAGGCCACACGAGTCTCCCTATTCACTCACCAGAATGGTTAACAGTATCAGCCCTTTTCTGGACAATTTTTAAGTGAACTGGCAAATTTCGCCATCGCAGCAGTTGGGACGTAAGCTACAACGGAATCCATTTTTTCTGCAATGCACCGTGTCAGGGCCCCAAGAGAGAATCGGGATCTGTGGATTGGATACTCAACAGACTTACATTGCTTGGGTTCTCCGGGCACGCTTCGAGTTCCAGGAATAGCCTGACCCTCGGCGTCCACACAGTAGCACTCTGAGTTGAAGCACTGGACGGGTAGGAAATGCCCCTCGCTGCTGCAAGAAGGGACAAACAGGCTGGCCCCAGCAGGCAGGCTGCCCGAAAGGCTTTGCATGAGAGCCCTTTGCTTCTCACACTCTGTGGGGCACCTGGGCCGTGCACCTCTAACCCTGGAGCCAGCAAGTTCTTTGCCCCGGGCATCCACACACCAGCACTCTCCAGCAAAGCACTGGACATCCTCGTAGTTTCCTTCTGCCGAGCACAGTGGGACGAAAAGGCTGCCGGGTGTCTGCTCACAGCCCTGGGAGCTGAGCACCATTTCCATCACGTCACCTAGATCCCTTGCTATGTCTTCTGGCACCGAAAGAGCCTGCTGCAAGAAGAGAAGGAATTCTGGAAGCTCCAGGAGAGATGAAAGGAATGTCAGGGCATTTTGGTTCTCTTGCAAGTTGATCTCAAAGCCAAAGCTGCCCACAATCGGCTTATTCATAGCAGCTCCCTTCTTAGAGGCTTCAGGAGGTTCTGTGGCAGGATTTGAATCAAATCCCAAGGAGAGGGGCTTGGCTAGATCGGTCCCTCCATTCTGGAAGCCTGGGAGACCAAACTGCTGGAAAAATTGACTGAAGTTAAATGTGCCTTTTGTGCCAAGGGCTCCAGACAAGTTGAACTGGCCAACATTCACCAAAAATTTCCCTCCAAAGAGGTTTTGCTGGAGGCGTTTTGGGTCGGTGGTAAACTGAAGGGCAAGACGAGCCAGCTCTCGGGAGGGAAAAATCGCTCCAATGGCTTCTCTGAGGACAGTTTCTGAGGCAGAAAACTGTTTATCCTGCCCTTCTACCATTGGGTGGAGAATCCCAGAGTCCACAAAGAGCTCCTTGATCAAGGGTGGGCAGGAGGTGGCAAATCTGGCTACTCTCGGAGACACCTGCCTTCCCTCGGGAGCCAAGAACAAGCTGTGCTGGCTGAAGTAGCCCGAGGGCCCAAAGTGTAGTCTAGACCGGGCCTGCCTCCTCTCTGAGGTACAGAATTGATCTTCAGCTGCACAAGACAGAGCAAACAGGAGAAATGGTTTTAACGTCAGCAAATAATCCTGAGACCACCCCACAGATCCTTCTGGTAGTAAGATGTCAAGAATTTCAATGAGGAACATCGACATTTTGTACCTCTATCTCCTCTATCCTATTATTTCTTTATTTTTCTTCCCCCCCGAGCAGCATCCGTGGTGGCCATTTGGGGGAGTGAGTGTTCCAGTTGACATGACTCCCTCTCCTACCTTTCACTGGAGGGTGACCCCCTTCTAAGGCAAGGCTCATGGGCACCGGCCCCCTTTCTGAAAACCTGATCACACACATGCACCAAATGTACTAGGCTGAACAGTGTCCTCCTTGTCTCCCCAGCCCAGGATTCTTATCCACCCAGAACTTCAGAACGTGACATCATTTGGAAGTAGGGTCTTTGCAGATGTAATTAGTTGAAATAAGATCACATTGGATTCAGGTGAGCCCTAAGTCCAATGATGGATGTCCTCCTAAGGCCATGTGAAGACACAGACACTCAGGAAAAAGGGCCTTGTGAAGATGGGGGCAGAATGCAGCTACAAGCCAAAGAAGGCCAAGGGTTAAGGGCCATATGCACCCCAATGTTCATAGCACCAATGTCCGCAATAGCCAAACTGGGGAAAGAGCCGAGATGCCCTTCAACAGATGAATGGATAAAGATGGGGTCCCTATATACAATGGAATATTACTCAGCCATCAGAAAGGATGAATACCCAACTTTTGCATCAACATGGATGGGACTGGAGGAGATTATGCTAAGTGAAATAAGTCAAGCAGAGAAAGTCAATTATCATACGGTTTCACTTATTTGTGGAACATAAGGAATAGCATGGAGGACATTAGAAGGAAGGGAAAAAAGAAGGAGGGCAAATCGGAGGTGGAGACGAACCATGAAAGACTATGGACTCTAAGAAACAAACTGAGGGTTGTGGGGGGGTGGATAGGTGAGCCCAGTGATGAGTATTAAGGAGGGCATGCATTGCATGGAGCACTGGGTGTTATACGAAAACAAGGAATCATGGAACACTACATCAAAAACTAATAATGTAATGTATGGTGACTAACATAATAAAATTTTAAAAAGAAAATAAAAAAGAAGAAGAAGGCCAAGGGTTGCTCCAGCCCCCGGAAACTGGACAGGCCAAGGATGGATTCTTCCCTAGAGCCTTCAGAGGGAGCTCAGCCCTGCTACCACCTTGATTGTAGATTCCTGGCCTCCGGACTGGGAGGGGATAAATTTCTGTTGTTTGAAGCCACCCAGTTTGTGGTAATCTGTTACAGCAGCCCTAGGAAACTAATACACCAACAAATTCCTATTTGTTTTTAATGAAATGTTTTTTTTTTTTCTTTCCCCAGCATTCTCTTGTTGGAATTTTTAATGGACTTTAATGCTTCATTATATGCTCTTCGTGTGGCTGCCTAATCCCTCCTTGAGGGTAGGCTTGTCTAGGCTAACTAGTTTATAGTCTCTTGGAGGATGAGAACCATACTTTAAATGCTATTATTATTTCCTATAATAAGAAATATTTTCCTATGTTGTAATATATAATATAGAATTATATTATAGGAAATAAGGTATTTCCTATAATATAATATAATAATGCCCATGCAGCAAACACACTTAGCACATTTTTCTAGGTTTCTTGACCTTTCTTTGAAGTTATTAATTAAACAGTGATCAGCTCAGTCAACTCCATGCATGTGTGGTCAGGTCATTCTATCTGAATATTCTAGGTTGACTGCAATTACATTAAGAAAAAAGACTTTAAATTCAAATTCCAAGTATCTCCATCACACAGGTGGAAGTAAGTAAGCTCCATGTTTCTCCATCAAATCATAAATCTTAGAGGTCCTTTTCAGCCATCCACCCACCCACCCCCACATTTTTAAAAATAATTCTTTCCCTTCAGTTCACACGGATGCCAAAAAGGAAGTCAGCCAATTTCCCTCTGTAACCAGGCAACAGAAAGAACTGGAACATGCGGTCAGAGAGAGAAAACAGACTGGCAACATCCAAGCCTCTAACACGTCCCTCAACCAGACCATGGCTGCCTTGAATGGAAGGTATTACAGGAAGGTATGGAAGAAATAAAGGTCACTGCTCTGCTTATTCTGTTTTCAAATTTAAGGGCATATCCCTTCCATTCATTTGTTATGTAGTGTTACCAAGGCAAAAACATTCAGACATTGCTTCCATGTGGCAGTCGTTTGCATGGAAATAGGACAGACACACCAGAGAGGAGAAGGTAAAAATATATGATCCCTGCATTTGATAGCATTCTGGTTTTAATTTGGAAAACCATAGTTCCCCATTTCCACCTGGAAATTGGAGGGCACAATATTCTCTAGGTTTTAAGAGAACGACAGTGTAATCATAAATACCTTCAAGGCAGAGCTTCAAAATGTTCCTCTTCTGCATTCTTACACTTGGCAGATAGAATACTACCAAACACCATGCAGAACACTCAAAATGTGAAGCTGGAGACATCAATGACTTCACAGGAATTGTTGAATGAACATGAGCACTGATCTCTTTCGAGGCTATAAAAAGACCGGCCTACCTCCTTCACTGTTTGCGATCTTGCAGAATCCACCAGCTCCTGGGTTCCTCCCTTGCCCTCACCCCTAACCTCCTTCAGGATCTTACTGGTAAGACGGAATAGAGTCTTACTGGAGTGTCCTGAGACATTTCTCATGTCCACACCCCTCTCCCCAGACCGCCGCTTCTACTTTTGTATCGGTCCCTATGCTGGGTTGAATAGTGTCTCCTCAAAACTCACATCCTTCCTGGAACCTCAGGATGGGAGCTTATTTGGAAATAGGGTCATTGTCGATGTAGGTAGTGAAGACAAGGTCATACTAGAGTCAAGTGGGCTCTTAATTTTATATTACCGGTGTCATTACGAGAAGAGAGGAAGAACCACAGGGCAGACACAGAGGGAGGACAGCCAGCTGATGACGAAGCAGAGTTTGAGGCCACGTTGCCACAAACCAAGGAAGGCCTGAGATTGTCGGCAACTATCAGAAGCCAGGAAAATGGCAAGGAAGGAGTCTCCCCGGAAGCCTTCAGAGGGACCATGGTCCTGCTGACACTTTGGACTTCCAGGCTCCAGAACTGAGAGAATATATTTCTGTTGTTCTAAGTCCCTGAATTTGTGGTCATTTGTTGCAGCTACCCAAGGAAAGTAATATAGTCCTCTCCTCATTCTTGAAAACATTGCAATGACCTTCACCCTGGCCCCAGGGCCTGCAGTCTAATCCTGCTTTCAGCTCCCCCCTTCAAAGTGCCTGGGTGGTCTTTCTTACACACAAAACCACCATGGAACTCTCCAGGTTAAAACCCCTCAGGGTCTTCACCTGACCTCCGGGATGAAGTGCCCAAGCCTTTGCTTTGGTAGGAAAGACCTCACTATCTCATCCCTCCCTCTAACCCGTGGGCTTAAAGTGCAGAGCCCCACCCTGATCATACTCCAGCAACTTGTTTCTCTGCCCTTCGTGCAGATTCATTGTCCAATAGCATATTAACACCTATTATTTATGTCCTCATAATTTGATGCTCCCACTCTGTAGTCAGAGAACACCTCTCCTTATTTTCCTCCTTCAGGAAATATCTTTAGTTAAGAAGACTCTAATCAAGCGTCACCTCTTCCATGAAGCCTTCCCGAACCTCTCCTCTTCATACACTCTGCAAAATGGAATTGACCCTACCCTGTTTGCCCTGCTTTAGTTATCGGTACACACTTCTCTCGTGGCACAAGTGAACATAATTCTCTTTTTTTTCTTCTGAGATCACTGAGGAAGCAACTATGTCTGACACAGGAGGAGAAAGATGCTGGAAGTTAATGACAATAAATGGGTTTTCCATCATGCTGGGCTCGAAGGGCCTCTGGGGTACACTCAGGAGGCAGTGGAATGGATGGGTTCTGGGGTGGTTGGTCTGCAGAAGCAGTGACAGTCATAGAACTTGACGAGAACAAAAGAGAAGGCCCCGGAGAGGCAACCCACCACAAGATGGCCGTTGGCCTTGCCGCCGAGTTCCATGGATCTCCTTCCCTCGGGCGTCCACACACCAGCATGGCCCTCCCTGCTGGCACTGCACTGCCTGGTAGCCCCCATTGCGGTGGCAGCTCGGGATGTAGGGGTGACCAAAGCTGCTCGCTGTGAACCGCTCCACTTCACATTTTGTGGGGCCTAGGAGAGATGCGGGCAGGGAGAGCACAGCGTGCAAACAAGGCTGTGTTGACAGCACGCATTCTCTTTGCTTTGACAGTGTTTTAAACCCTCGCGCCCACTTCGGGAGACCAGCCATGGCAGCTGTGACTTTAAAACCCAAGTGGTTTCCTCCAAGCGGAGACACGCACGTGTGTCGCCCACTCGGTACTTACATCGGAATCGGCCAGAGATGACGAGCTGAACCGCGAGGAACCGTCTCTGCAATATCCGGTACAGGGTGGTTTCGGCGAAGGTGGAAGCAAGGTCCAGGCCAGCAAAAATGGTGTCATAAATTTCATCAAGTAACAGCTCCAAACCTGAGCAAGGACAGAAGCGTTTCAAGGGCCGGGTGCATTCAGAAAGGACATCCTGACCAGGCCGATCAACAGACATTAGGAGGGCACCTATGCATCAGGTCTGATCAAGATTTTAATGGTTTCGGGGACACCTGGGTGGCTCAGTTGGTTGAGCGTCAGACTCTTGGTTTCAGCTCAGGTCATGATCTCAGGATCGTGAGGTCCAGCCCCATAACGGGCTCTGGGCGGGAGATTCTCTCTCCCTCTCTCTCTCTACTTCCTTCCCCCGGTGGATAAATAAAATCTTAAAAAAAAAAAAAAAAGATTTAATGGTTTCCAAAACCAGGGCTGCTCTGTGCAGTTGTGCAGGTTGTACACAGCACAAAGGAGCCCTGCTTGCGAGAATGAGAGCCGATTAAAACGCATCCTGTGTTACACTCTCCAGGCTCAGAGCTGCATCTGCCCAGGGCGGAGCGCCTCCTTCTAGTGCACACAAAGTCTCCAAATGCACCAGCAGCTGTGTTCAAAGCACTGCAGATGAACATTTGCAAGAGAACATTTGTGGTCTCTTCAAAACCCTGGGCAGCCTAGCAGGGGGGAGCAGGCAGACACTGCTTTTTCTGCTTGGCAGGCAATGATACTCAGGCTTTCGGGTTTGGGGGATGCCTCTCTCACCCCCTCCACTTGTCTGCGTTGCACTTACCTGTCTCAGCCAGCTCCCGCCCTTGACTGTCCGCACAGTGACAATACCCAGACACCTCGGGGAACTTGCTCCGGAAGGCACTGAAGGTCACGAATGCATCTGGAAACCTAAGACAGAATGAGATTTATGGTCACTGTTTCCTAAAGCACAAGTCTTCACAAGCTTTTCTTTGTGGAAATAAATAAATGTGGTTTCATCTCATCTGGGGAGAAGGAATGTCTGTTTTGTTGTTCTTTTTTTTTTTAATCTCATGCCATTTGTTCCATGTTTCTTTCAGTAAATGTATTTCTTTTCGAAGCTGGTTTTACCTGGCCAGAGCCAGGCTGGACAAGTGAAAATGAAGCTGTGCTCAGCTGTCACCTACTAATTAGTCATCTCCCTCCCTCGTGGCATTTCACCAGTTTGTACCCAAGCATGTGCCTCATAGGATCAGGCAGAAAACAGGTGACGAACCTCACATTACTGGAGTATAAATTTACTAGACTATAACTCTAGGGACGAAAGGCCAAGTTTGCTTGACAAACATATGGTACATTGTAGATGATCTCATTTGGGGAGATCAAATGACTCCAGAGCCCTTTACAGCTTTTCCAGAGCTTGAAAAGAAGCCAGATTCCACCATAGGAAATTCTTAAGGACACTTCCCAGTTCCATAGTTGAAAACACATGAAATCAATATGACACCACTAAAAGGGCTATGCATCCCTTTCCACAAGTGCAGGGAAAGTGTGCCCAAGCCATGGCCGACCTGGCAATTGCCATCAGGAGCTAATCGGCTGGGTTCCCGATCCTGGAAGTAAGATGAAGCTAGGTGATATAAAACCGTATGGAAGATTCTTCCCGTGTGCAATGATTTAGCAACCAGAGAGGAATTTTTCATCTTTATGCAACATCGAGAGATTTTTTTATGCCCTAGAAGCCCAGCACAAGAGAACCAAGCATAATGTGTCGGTTAGCACAAGCAACAGCTGTCTGCCCAAAGAGACCCACTGCTGCGTCAAAACAACCTTAATGTCCAATGATAGGAAAATTAAGAAGTAAATGGTGGTAAATTTCCTAAATGGATGTATGCATAGCATTATATCAAAAGGGTAGAATACAACATGGTCTGTATATACACTGCAATTACTACCGTGTAAATGAACCGGTATTGGAAGGCAACAGATAACACAGGAGTTGCTCAGAGCTTGAACAGGGGGTGCAACAAGTATTAGCTAATTTGCATGAAAATGAATATGCAACACAAAGCCTACAAAAGCACTACAGGATTATGGATTTTTTTTTCCATATTGTTGGTCTTTTATTATGTACCTGTGAGTTAAATAAGAAGGAGTGCTATAGTAAGTGAGTTACGCATAACAGAAACTAAAAACTCACTTTGTCCAGTTGCCAAGGGATTGGAGTGTATATAATAAAAATTCATGAATTGAAACCTGGGATAATTCAATTCTAAAAGCGCTAATAATAGTGTAACAATCACTTCCATTTTTTGAGCACTATCTTGTAAAAGACAATCCGCTAAATGTTTAATATACATTGACTTGTTCAATCCACTTAACACTCCTAAAAGGCAAGTGGTATTTTTTTGTACCCATTTTAGAGGTGAAGAAGGTAAGATATGTTGGCCACCATCCTGAAACAGCAGTGGGAGACAGAGTTTAAACCCAGGTCTTAGCGCCCACATGCTGCCACCATCTGCCGGTAGTGATGTTCAATGTGTGTCGGCTGCGCCTTGTTCCTGTCTCACATTCTGAAAGGCACGTGACTCTCCTCTGCCTGCCTTTTCCCGATATCTAACAGATGTGGAAGACACACATGCTGGAGAACGCATGGATGGGGCACCTGGCGGGCCCGAGGCTCTGAAACCCATCCCAGCACGAGGCACAGGAAGTTTCGATCACTCCAGACCCATGTTCTGCCGATTCGACCCAAAGGCCCGCTTCAGGGTCATGCCCCAGGACCAGTGCAAGCAGCATGACGTTTGGGCCATCTTCATCCCGGCACTTGAGGGTCAGGCTCCTCCTCTCTGCCTTTACGGTCTCACGAGCTACCCAGTACCTGGGCCTCTGTGTGCTTTTAGCAACGACCTCACTCCTGATATGAAAAGAGCTCAGGTGTGGAGCCAGACGTGTCAGAGCTCCGGCCCTGGCCTAGCCCCACGGGGTCACTGCTGATCTTTACTGCTCCCGAAAATAATAACGGGGGGCATGTTCTGGACGATCAGACACCGCACCAAGCACCCTCTAATCTCACTGAATCCTCACAACAACCCTTCCAAAGCTGCATTTCACAGATGAGAACCCTGAGATTCTGAGTGGTGAGCTGACTGGTCCAAGATCACCCAGCCCGGACCCAGGGTCTGGCATCCTGAGTCCATCGCACCTGGTCTCTCATCAGCAGCAGCTGGTGGGATGGGGGGCTGCCTCGGAAGCAGAGCACCCTGCCATCAACAGGAAGTTCAAACTCTGAATCTTCCTCGATTTCCTTTGTTCCCCAAGTCCGCTTTGATACAATCTGGTTTTGGTGGCTGATTTCTGAAACGGTATCGCCACTCTGAATTCTGGAATCTTCCTCCAGCCTAGCCATGGGCACTAGGATGGCTTAGTTGCAGCTTCTCCATTGTCATTGGTGCTCTCCTGTCTGCCAGGATGGGAGGGCCTCTGTCATGCTTACAACTTCCTGCTTACTAGATCCCCACCCTTCCCTGCCACCCCAACAAAAGTCCAACTACTGAAACTGAACCCAAGGAGGAAAGGGGGAAAGGCTCCATCCTAATACTCAGGCCAGCTAGGTTTGGAACCTGGTGTACAGCCAAAGAATGCTCCCAGAGGAAGTGAGTCTGGAGTGGGATTCTGAAGCTAAGAACAAGGACTTGGCAAGGAGAGAACGGAGAACATGTCTAGAAGGATCATTAGCACGTCTCCAACTTCAAAACGGGGGCAGAGGATGACAGTGTGGGCAGAAGGAAAAACTGAGAGGCTGGGGGAGGCACGGGTCTGGTGGAGAATGTCGGGACGCAAGCATCTCTACTATGAACACACTGTTCCTGAAAGCTCCATGCCCGCTCTCCTTCTAGGCACGGTCTTAGGAAACGGACCATTTTGTTAGCAGCAGGATACGGTCGAGTCCTATAGGACCCTATGGTATATGGCATCGTCCCTTTCATGAGGATCAGAGGAACAAAGACTTCTCCATCTTCAATAGAAGAAAAAATTGTGTTATTCTGAAAAACAGGTTTACTTTTATCTGATGGAAACCAAATAACTGAGAGTGTTTTCTCCAAGTGTTATAAGGTGCTTGGAGACAAATATGCAGCCCCTTATATTTGTGAAAAGAAAACTTTATAGAATGAGTGGTACGTAGCAACCTTTGCCTTGTTTTATTCTTATTTTCTACCCTTATTTTGCCTCCCCTATGATCTCCTCTATTTCCCATTTCTATCCCGTTCAGGGCATGTCAGAAGAAAGGAAGAAGAGAAAATCAGCACAAAACCTTAAAAATAAAAAAACGACGTATTTCATCTAGTGGAAAAGGATGTGTCCCTTCTGTTAAATTAAAGCAAAACCTCAGGAGGATCGTAAGAAAGTTCTCAAGAAAGAAAATCATAGTGCAAGGGAAAGAGTGGCAGTCCTGAATTGATGCTCAGACCGTGACCGACCCAGAGCTAGAGAAATCACAACTCAGGTTCAGTGGAATACAAAATGTCAGGCCCTGCCAGGCACCTGGTCCTAGTCGCATGCAGAACAGCACATGCCCTGGGCTCAGGCAGCAGACCCCGCTACTCAGTCAGATTTTCCACTCCACCCAGAGACAGTCCCTCCAGAAGTCTAACCATCGATTAATAAATTAGCAGTTTAGGTGCCAGAAGAGAGCTCCTTCAAGTAGGAGGACCTGTCATGGATGTTTCCTTTGAAGGTAACCGATGGTCAGTCTTCGAAGATTGCTCCACATGTTCTGTAATGATGTCCCCTTGCCACACACTAAGATGCATCTGATCCTTCTCACTGGATTATCTGATTTGCATGGGTGACCAAGGATCTCAAGTAAGACTGGTTGCTAAGAAAGTTTGAGTTTGCTTAGTCACTAAGGACAAGAGCTGATAAACCAATTAACTGAGTTTTAGCATGGACCACAAAGGCCTGGCAATGGCATCAGCCCTTCAAACCTTGACCTCCAATCTGCTTAGCCAGAATGCGTTTCTCTATTAGTGGCTGGGTGAAGGCAGTAGGGAAGGTGGGGTAGAGTTGGAAGAACCAGCAAAGCTTACTCTACACCACGACACGGTTTTCAAAGTCACCAGCCAAACAGGTGTTGTTAGCCATGGCCTTGAGAAGGCAAAAGGATCTGCTTCAAGCCGCAAAAGCTATGGCCACGCTCAAGTGCAAATCATCACCGAGCACATGACGAACCCACAGCAGGTTGGCAAATGAGCTCGCCATAGGTTTCCGGCCTCCCCTCCAGGCCCCACGCAAATAAGTCAGCTGCTTCATGCTCTCCACTTGAATGTCCCAAAGAAAGCCTCTCAGATTCAGTATTCCAAAATCAAACATGCAATTTTCCTTTTCCAAACTCATCCTGTACCATGTACCTAGAAACCAGACGTGGGCTTGACTCTTCCTCTCCCTCACCCTCCACCTTCACCGGTTGCTGTGGATTCCACCTCAGCAATGTTTCTCTAGCCCTCCCGCCCCCTCACAGCGCTCTCCATCACGTGCTCTCGGTCCACGCCAACATGGTCTCTCACCTAGACCTGAGCAGGAGCCTGCAGACCCCACAGAGCTGCCTCCCTGCACCCCCTCTGCACTTCCCCGGCCAGTCCATGCTTTCCTAAATTCAAAATATACCCAATCTTCCCCCATAGGCTCAAAATCCTTGATGCAATCTCGGGGACATACCAATACTAAAAAATTACCCCCTGCTTATCTGAAATTCAAATGTAACTGGCCATCCAGTATTTTGTCTGCAGCCTTAGGGACGAAATCTAGACCCTCCCCCGTGCCCTGTGGAACAGCGGGGCCTCGCACTGCCCAGGTCGGCTTATCAAGAAACCCCTGAATAAGGCTGGGCTTCCAGTAACCAACCGCCCAACCCTTCCCATGACCTTCCTAAATCGGAATTCCCCCCGAGACATGCTTGCTTACAAAAAGGAAAGGATCCCATTTCAGGAGTAAATTTTGTTTTTGTTTGTCTCTCTTAAACAATGGATGCTTAGTCTGGAAATTTTGCATTTAACTTGACTGCCCTCTCATGGAAGGAGCTGTGAACTGTGCCTCAAGCTGGCCCCGCAAATAAGTTCTTGAACGCACTGGTGATAAGCATAGACTGCAGGCCTACTGTGCACAAGGCTCTGTGCTGGATGCTGCAGGGAAAGATACTTGAATCAAGGTGGTGTGGGATAGTAAGCGCAGCCACGCAGTTCTAGCGCCCACTGACTCTGCTTCCCAGGGTGAGCGCCTTAGCCTCTGTGTTTCAGATTCCTCATCTGTCTGCTAGAGAACATAATTATTTTTGTAAGGATTAAAGTAGGCAGAAGGTTGTCAAATTGCCTGTATAGAGTAAGCACCCAGTTGAACTTGGAACTGAGCACACACTGGTTTGCATCAATGAATATCAGTTAATTGGGCTTTGGGGAAATTCTTAGGTGCACACAGGCAGGCTATTCTCTAAGCCTGGGAGGAAAAAAAAACAAACCCAAAAACCTAATTTACATTTGTTGCAGCTGGGTGATACAGAGGCATCCCTATGGATGCATAATAATTTGCATTTGTCTTAGTGGTTTCATAGATGAGGCCTCATTAAATCCTCACCAGGACCTAGTGCGCAGGGAGTTGTCCCTGTGTCCCCACCCCGTATTTCAGATGGGGACCCTGGAGTACAGGGACACAGAGAGGGTAAATGAACAGGTCACATTGCCAAGCAGTGGCAGAGTTAGAATGAGGATCACAGGGGCAAACGCAAGGCGGCCAGGCAGGTAACACGGTTGGAAGGAGCAGGCAACAGGACTGAGAGGGACCTGGAGTGCTGGAGCGCTGGACCGCGTGTGATCAGTCCAAAAAAGAACAGTTCAAGGCCAGCTTCTTGGGGCCATGGGGAATTCAGGAATTCAGAATTTTGTGTATTAAGTTAAACATAAGAAATTGCTGATGTTCAGCTATTTTTACTTACGCAAACAGAAATTTCATGGAGTTAACTTGAAATGCTCCAGTTTTTAAAATAATATACAGCTCAAATAAGACTTGTCTACGGGACAGCTCCCGTGGCCAGGCTGCGAGCCTGTGACCCCTCCCGGCACAGCCCATGGGAATTGTCTCTCTTGGAGAGGGAAAGAAACGGGTGACCTTGGAAGCCAGCCACACGGAGGCTCAGGTTTTCCAAGAGAATTCCCATCATTATTCACAGACTAATACTCCTACTGATGTCCCTCCGGGCGTTTCAATCATGTCTGAAGTCTGTGCAGGCCCTCTACATTGACCAAGTGGCCATCTTAAATAACCAGAAGCAATCTGATTATTTGGGCCAAGATCTATCACGCATCTCCCTTTGTACATTTGTTACTTCAATCTTTACGCTTATTTATAGGTGCCTACATACAAGCAATTTACAAGAATGTATAAATATGATCATGCCCATGCTCGCAAGAGTGCCATCTTCTCTCCTTCTCCGCGGATTCCCTTCTCCCTACCCCTGTTTCTCCACAGCAGCTTGACCCTGCTGGTGGCCAAGATGGTGATATACCACCCAGCGTACGCTGATGCATACAGTGCCCTGTGCTCACCTAATCCTGTACCGACACAGAATCGCATCACCATCTATGCACGTAAAAGGTGTGTGCTTATTTGCTTGGTAAAAAGGAAATCATACGAGCGCCTTGTATCTTGTATCATATTATCATAATATATGCGACAGCACCTTCTCTCCAAATCAACTGGGAGAGTTCCAAAGCATTCTGTTTAACGGCTGCATAAATATTTAGGGTGGTGGCCCGTTTATCCAGCCACCCACCTTGGGTCTCTCAGTCACTTTGTTCCCCGTTTTCAGCTACAGTGAGAAACAATGCAGTAGACATCCCAATACATATGTCTTCGCTCTCTGGTCTTTTTATTTCCATGGGCTGCCTGGCCCCGGGGCGGGGGAGGGGGGGTTCACCTATTTTTAATTTGAATGGCTGTTGCCAGCTTGCTTGTTTTGTTAAAAATATTGTTGTTCCTTTAGATGTCCAGCAGCTTACGAGAGTGAGGCCTCTCTCAACCCCCACCAGACTATGCCTCTGAAACCCCAAAACCCCCAGCCCCGGCGTGAGCATGAGCTTTGGCAGGGGATAGGGAGAGATGGCCCAGGATTGGGCATACCCCCAGAGGCCGGCTCCCTTACCTGTTGTAGCTCTGAACCAGGTCAAAAATCATCATGTCCGTGGTGTTGACAAACTTGCACTGGACAGGCATGAACCCGCCATCTGGAGAACACTGCGGTGGTGACTTGTCTCCCACCCCGTGGAGGAGACGGCGGTTTCTTATCTCACAGCTCCTGGGACCTAAACATTTCCGAGGAAGAAATGTCAGGGCTTAGGTAGGAGTAGGTGCATACGCTTCTGCAGTCCGGATGCAGACGTTCACCCTACACACGTGACCCAGCCCCACACAGAGACGGAGTCCAGCGCGGGGGACTTGCCAACGCTCGCTGCCCTCCATGCTTATGCTTCGAACAACCAGCCAGCAAATCCTGATTGTCCGCCACGTGGCAATGTTAGCAGTGATAAAACCTTCCTAAACTGCTCTCAGTTTCTGTACTGAGGGCCAGGGCCTCTGCCTTTGGCCAGGGAGACCCGACGAGTTCTCGGTTCCGTGTGGAAAGCTGCGCACACCGGGGGACGTGTGGGCTGCCGGCAATCCAGAGACTTACACCGAGTCGGCCTCCCCGGCTGGCGCGTCCCGTACACCTCCATCCCTTCTGCATCCACACACCAGCACTGGTCCTGCCCCAGGTCGCACTGCACGGGCACGTAATCCCCCGAATCCTGACACTGGGGGAAGTAGGCCGTGGTCGTGCCGTTCATGTAGCCGCTCAGCAAGATCTGCTGCTTCTGCATCTGGCAGAACGACGGACCTACAGGTGCAAGGAGCAGGGTCAGACGATGCTCCAGGGAGAGCATCAGGCTCCCTCCCTGGAGACAGGGATGTGTCCTTCCCACCCCATGCAGAGAGCGAGCGACGGGCCCATGACCCAGGGATCCTCAGAGCTGGCAGAAAGCTCAGGGCCAGTGCTCCGACTGTCCAGCTTTATCCCAGGATTGCTCCCAGCATCCTGTGCACCAGGTCAGGGAAGGGCGGCCTCCACTGCGGCCCATCGGTCCACCGGACCCCCCATAGCCCAGGCACTGCAGAGTGGAGGCTGAGCACTGACCGATCGCATTCCCGCACCCCTGCCCACACCCTCGTTGTGGAACCCTCCCTGAACCACTCTGGGCCTCCCTCCTTTTCTATAGGGTTGAAACACGACCGCCCTCCTTGATGCATGAGATTAGTGACCTTGACAATCACTACCCCTGCTGAATACCTACTGTGTGCCCGGGGTTTGATATGTGCCTTAAATCCTGTGAGCAGATCCTACATTCCTATAACAGACGAGGGACCACAGCTCAGTGAGGGCATGGGACCGGGCCGGGGTCATTCAGCCAGAGCGTGCTGGGAGCCAGCCTGCTGCCCAGGCTAGCCAGGCTGGCCGTGAACAACCCCATGCCCCAAACAGGGCTTTTCTCCTCAAAGGAGATCTTTGGTTCCAGGCTCAATATCACCATTTAAAGATGACCAGCTTCCACTGACCTTGGTTTTAGGCTTAGCTCTGACATGCTTTACAGGGGGGCTGTGTTTCTTTGACTACTCATGATAATAATTATTTTAACAGGGAAATTTTCACCTAAGTCTCAGATTTTAGAAACACCTGAGGCGAGAAAACACTAGGTGTGTCCGTGGCCTAATTCTGCTTCCAGAGGCCTTGGATGTCTGGCCCTGTAGCTTCCTTGGTGCCAGGCAGGTAGCCCGAAAGCGGGCCAGCTCAGCACCTGTTTGCTGGACAAATGACTTGATGGACCCACTGGATGTTCATAGCAGTCCTGCGGGAAGTAGGGCCTCGTGTGTGGGACTATTATCCCAGTTGGAAGAGGAATGTCCGGCAGCCCAGAGGGAGGCCTGCCGGGTCACAGGGACCCTCCTTCCCCCAGACACCCCCTCTTGCACTCACAGGCCACGGGCCGAGCAGGCTGCCTGCTGCCCGGCACCTCCCGGCCGTCCGCATCCACGCACCAGCAGGAGCCCCCATCATTCTGACACTGGATTGTCCTGCGGGCAGAAGAGACACACCACATGAACGGCGTTACTGAGGCCCCGAGCCGCAACCCAGCTTAGTTTTCCTCTTCCTTTTGGGTCTTCCAAGTTTTAATTTGTTTCAATTAGGGAGACATGGAGTGGAGAGGGGTGGGCGACGTAGCGCCAAAGCTGGCCTTTTCCTGTCTTGCTCATCCCTGCGACATCTCAGCCGTCCATCCTCCGGCCATCCCATCTGCAAGGTCTGTGGCAAACGCCCGCCCTGCCGTGTGGCTGCCACACAGCCCCTGCAGGGGGTAAAGGCAGTGTCCTTGTGGCCCAGGGGCGGACGAAACGTCGGTGAGGTCTGGGAGATGGGAGAGCAGAGCCTTGGGCGTGGGTTACACAGGGAGGCACACTCATGGGTTGCCCAGGGCAAGTGGTGACTGCAACAAGGCCCGCAGGATGATCAGGGGTCCTGCTAGGGGCAGAAGGAGGTCAACAGTGCTCGGGGTGAAGAGAAAAGCGCAGGCACGCCTCCTGAGGAGGACCAGGAGGGTTGGAACTGCAAGTGACGGGGAACAGCAACATGAATAAGGGCCACAAAGGTGAGCCTCCCGTCACTTCCTGTGCCCTTCTGACTCCCAGTTGCCTAAGCAGGGGCCGGACCACAGGGTCTCTGCACTCTTGGGAGGTGTAAGGTGCTGCTGGGGGCATTAAGAGCACGTAGAAAATGAAGGTAGGTGACAATATTTCACAGGGGTTTCCCAGAACGCAGTCCATGGACAGGGTTCCCCTAGTCAGGCCCACACAAACGATTCCTGTGCCGGAATGTTCTGCTGGGGAGTTGTTGAGATTATCGCTCCATTCTATAGGGAGAGTCCAGGATGCACATTTACGTTAGGGCAGCCAAACCCCTCTTCCAGAGAGGAGCTCACAGTGGGAGACAGAAGCGCCTGGCACAGATCACTGGGCTCAGCAGGGCTTGGAGGCAGGGCCGCAGGCCTGAGTCCAGGCAGCTTGGGCATCCCCCCACCTCTGACTTGTCAGGAGCACCCACCGAGGACAGGAGGCGCCAACGCATCAATCCCCCCACACCTTTCATTAAAGCAATTACGCTGCAAGTTTTGGCAGGAAAAGAAGGGAAGTCCTTGGTCCTGGCTGGGATGAAGCAGGGACCGGGGCGCTCTGGGTCAGATTATCCAGTGTCCATCAGTCTGAGGAACAGACCTGGGAGGCGGGCACCCCCCAAGTGACAGTGGCCACATGTCCTGGACACAGGCAGGGGAGAGTGAGGGAACCACGCAGAGTGGAGGGGAGGGGATGAGATAAGCTTTAAGGTCTCTTAGGGCCCCAGGAATCCACAGGGCTCAGGAATCCTTACTGGTAGCTTCCGTCTTCTGCGCACTGAGGAACGTGGTCTGCTCCCTTCAGAAAGGCCTCCTCCCTCCGCAGCTCACAAGGACGCAGGGGCTGGGCGTCCACCTGGTATTCTGGGGAAAAGGAAGCAGTTCAACAGGGAAGAGGGTGGATGGGATTCCGGTAGCAAAGAGGTCTCCCCAAAGCTCAGATGCTCTCCTGGGTTGTATTTCTGGCATCATCAACAATCACCTTCTAACTTGTAATTTGACAGTTATTCACACGTTTCTAAGTATTTAACCCCCAGCCTCTCCTGGGAAGGGAGGTCTGCATTTTACCCTTGGGTCACTAAAACGGTGACAGGAACCTGCTCAAGGTCACATAGTTGGCAAGGGCAAGATTCAAAGTCAAACCTCAAACCCCACGTTCCCTTGAGCCTCAGTGGGGTTAGGTCTGAACACCAGAAGGAAGGTGTTCTTGGGTTTATCAAGCCACCCCTGTGGGCAGGACACCTTCTTGGCCCAGGTCAGGAATGCAAATGAATTAGTAACTCCCACGTATCTTCTCCACTGAGAAAGCATCCGACACGCAGGAGCTTACTTCGTCGGGAGAGAGGCGTCACTGGCTTACTTTTCCAACAAGAAAACTGAAGCTTAGACTTCTCCAAAGTCACCCAGCAAGTGGCCGAGCCGCTGCTGGAACTCACGTCTATTTCAGTGAACAGGTGAATTTATCTTTTTCACTACCTGCGGACTACTTCTCAAATGCCTCACATGGATGACCTCGGCCTGAGATCGCTAAGGGAATTAAAAAAAAAAAAAATGCCAGTGCCAAAATTCACTAAAAAGGTGGGGTGAGCTAAAATTGAATTAGGAAGGTCTGATTTCCCATCTGCTCTCCACCAATCCCTGGTTCTGTGACCTCAAGGAAATTCAGTCCACCTTTCTGAACCTCTGTCTCTTCATCTGAAATCCCTCATCGGGACGTTGTGAGGACTGAATGAGATCCCAAATGTCCCGAGGCACTGGGGCAGAGCCTGGCTGACTTCGGAGCTGCGGCCTGAGAGCTCCCTCCAGACCTTCTCCTCCATGGCCTTGGGCTCATAACTCACCGAAGATGTTGGCCGACACCGAGCAGGCTGAGCCCAGCAGACTGAAGATCCACAAGGCCAGGGCCATTTTCGTGGGCCCTTCTGGGGATGAAGGGGTGGAAGCCACTGCCCACCCCCGGCTCTGGCCAGGGAGGCTTTATAGCACCAACCCCGCCCGCGGGCACTCAGAGGAGCCGAGCCTGCCCTGTTTTCTCTGCTGGTCACAAGGGGTCCTCCACCTGCGTCTGCTCCCTCTGAGGACACTTGTGTGGCCAGTGGGGGACAAGACTCTCCTTGAGGCTCTGTGGAGCAGAACAGGGCTGGGGTGGCTTTGAAAGTCATCTTTACAAAAGTGAAGGCCAAAGCTCTACAGCGATGGGTGCAACAGGATCACCCCTCCCCCCCAACTCCGGGGAAAAAAGCATTTCTTCCTCCCTTCTCCCCCCTCAAGCCCTCCTTCCTTCCTTTCTCCCTTCCTCGCTTCCTCTTTCCTTCTTCTCCCCTCCCTCCCGCGCTTCCTTCCTTCCATCAATATTTTCTAGAGCCCCCCCAGCAGCAGACACTATTCTAGGCAATGAGAATATGGCAGGGAACAGGCAAAGTCATTAGTATAGAATATAAGAATTTTAGTGAGGGAAGCCAGATACACACACACATTCCTATTCATACTTATTCTCCTCTCCCCCTCTGTCCCAGGACTTCTGATTCCCCAACCCAGAGGCAGCAGGAACTGTACCTTCCACGTAGAGACTATAAAGCAGTATGTTTTCTCTTAGTAAAGCCAGGCTACTTCCTTTACTCCTCTCCCTGCATGACCATGGAAAACTCACCTCATCCTCTTGAGCACTGCCTCCTTCTCTAGAAAACAGAAGTAAAAGGAGAATAATAATGTGTACCTACTTGCTAGGGATGCTGTAAGGGAATAAACAGGACATTGAAGAGTCTGTGCTCAAGCTAGCAGTTAATATTACTGATTTTGTCATTATGCAGACAACACGGTGCCAGGGAGTGACAGATCCGCAGAACACCCTGCAGGGTGAGGGGCTGGTGACAGGTGGGGGCAGGGGTGCTGGGCTAGCGGGGAAGACCCTGCTGAGGATGTGGGAGGGAGGGTTGGCGAGAGTCTGGAGAGAAACTATCCCGGGGGCCGGGGGGGGGGGGGCGGGATAGGCTGGGGATGGAGCACGGTTTGCACCCAGCACAAAGATGAAGGACACTAACTGCAGAACAGTGGGTTGTTCTACCCAGGAGAGATGCCATGAACATTACCAGTGTTAACACAAGTGAAGTGCTTAAAATAGCCCCCGCATGTCACTCCCCAACATTGGTTACCTTCATCATTATTATGTTCATGATACAAAGTACAGAAAGTAAAACTCAACAGTTATTTTAACTGTCAGGGAGTGGGATTAACAATGGGTAAGAAATCCTGTTCTGTACATCCTTCCTGGGGAATCACACATGCTCTAGGCTCTAACATCCCTAACTCCAGCTGTAGCTCTAGCTTAGCCCCAGCCCCAGGCCAAGCCCCAACCCCAACCCCAGGCCCAGCCCCAGGCCCAGCCCTAGCCCCAGCCCCAACCCCAGCACCAAGC